GCTGCTGCTGCTGTTATTGTTTTTGTTTGGGTTTTTTTGTTATTGTTATTGTTGCTGTTGTTATTGTTGTTGTTCTATCGTTTCGTTGCGACTGTCGTTATTTTCATTGTTGGAACAGTTACTTCTGTTGTTGTTTCTGTTCTATTGTTGTTGTTATTGTTGTAGTTGTTGTTGTGATTGTTATGTTGTTGTTGTGATTGTTGCGGTTGTTGTGATTGTTGTTGCTGCTGTTGTTGTTGTTGTTGTTATTGTTCTTTGGTTGTGGTTTGTTGTTGTTGGTGATGTTGTTCGATCGTTGTGGTTGTTGCTATTTTAATTGTTGTAACAGTTACTTCTATTGTTGTGCGTGTGGTTTTCGTTGCTCCTGTTGTTATAATACATGTAGTTTCTTCAGTTTATATAACAGCTTTTCCTGTTGTTGAACCACAGTTCATCAAGTGTGGTTTGCTTCTTCTTTCCATGTCAAACATCTATCGTCCTTATCTCCCCTCCTTCTTTTTTATGTTTGTTGCTCTCTTGTAATACCTCTCATCTTCTGGCGCTCATATGACCGTATGCAGTTGCGAGCGCCGTAAAAACTCTACTAAAACAAAAAACAGTTCATCAATGTTCGCACGCATGCGTACTGTAAGCGAAAATCTACTTCCAAAGTGGGCTTAATCAAGTCATTTTTTCTGACTAGTGACCCAAATATGAGATCGCTTTATTTTAAACGAGAACCAACTTCTTAAGTGCGAGCCCAATCATGTAATTTTCCCAGCTAATGGCCTAAAATCCAGATCTCTTAATTTCAAACAAGCACTTGCTGCCAAAGTGGTTCTAATCAAGTTATTTTCCTGGGTATTGGTCAAATATTTACATCAAATATTGATCCGTTTGTTTTCAACGAGAATCAACTTCCAAAGTGTGCCTAATCATGTATTTTTTCCCAACCTTGGCCAAAACTTCAGATCCCTTTATTTTGAATGAGAATACACGTCCAAATTAAGCCTAATCAAGTCATTTTCCTAATTATTTTTAAAAATTTCAGGTCCCTTTATTTTAAACGAGAATGTGCGTCCTAACTGGGCCTAACCAAAGATCGTACATAACAAGGTAGTTCACTCCTCTCTTTGAGTCAATAAGAAAACGTGTCCTCAAAATCCGGAGGCGCTCTCTTCGAAAAAGCGCGGACTTTACAAACAGAGTTTCCCCACTTGTGTGAAAGACAAACAACCAAACGATGTCTCTTGTGTCCACAGGCCACTTCACCCAAGTGGTGTGGAAGGGCACCACGGAGCTGGGCATGGGCAAGCAGACATACAAACAGACAAGTGACCAGACAAACAAACAAGCAAACAAGCAGACAGACAAATAACCAAACGATGTTTCTTGTGTCCACAGGTCACTTCACCCAGGTGGTGTGGAAGGGCAGCACGGAGCTGGGCATGGGCAAGGCCAAGGACAAGAAGGGCAAGGTCATCGTGGTGGGCAGCTACCGGCCGGCGGGCAACATGATTGGCTCCTTCACCAGCAACGTCTTCCCGCCCAAGTAGAGGTCAGAGGTCACACACAGCGCCTGACCCCTGACCCCCGGCACGGCTGAACCCTGACCCCTGGCACCTGACCACTGACACTCCTGACTCCTGACCCCTGAACCCTGACCCATGGACCCCTGACCACTGACACTCCTGATCCCTGACCCATTATCAGCTCTCTATCTTTCTCTAATTCTCCTTCCCTTTTTCCATGAGTCACCACACAACCCAATGTATTTTTCTTTTAAGTAAAAATAATGTGGTCCATGTTCAGTTTTTTTTTTAAAACGAGAGTTTTTCTCTCTAACCAAACAATTAAACACACCAATGACACCATACTTCTCTTAGGTGTACGGCAATGCACACTTTTGGTGTAGGTGAACATTTCAGAAAACCCCCAATATCTGGGTTAGCCCGCTTGTCCTTAAAAGCGACCAATTTACTTTAAGAAGAGGGAATTTAAGTTTACGTTTACCCTTGCGGTTTGAATATTGATACACATAGACTTGGAATGTCTTGCTGAGGCCGTGAATAGTGAGGAACCCACATATATACACATACATTTATACACACACACACACACACACACACACACACACACACACACACACACACACACTCACACACACACATTCTCGTGCGTACGCACACATTCCCACACACTCACACACACACACAAACACACACACATATACACACACATACTCAAACACATTATCTCTCTCTTGCACACACATTAAAACACACAAAGACATCTATTGAAACATAATACAGCTGACACTATACACTTATGTAATGGTACAGAAATTACACCCCACCCCCATCCACCCCTTATTCCCTCCCATCCTATGCTTTCCCACCCCCTCCCCCTTCACCCTCCCCCAAACAACAAAAAACCCCAACAAAAAACACTCACGTGCCAACGTGCGTGACAAAAATTAATTAATTTCCGCAACTCAAATAAATGTCGCAACCTTTCCGGCTGTGAGCTTCCTCCGATAGGCTGTCTAAAATTTTATTTACTCACGCCAGTTCGAGAGCTTCTATGTCCTGAATTGTAGGGAAAAAGGTGAGTGAGAGAGAGAGTCTGGTCTTGGGCGAACTCTGAATGGGCAACATGGAAATATCCGAATAAGACTGATCGACAGGGGATAGCAGAATATCGGCAAACATGAAATAAATAATATTTGATATTCCACGTGAGCAAATGTTTGCTCATCCCGTTAATGTATTTGCATAAATCAATTGAGATTCTCTGCCTAATTTAACGAAGGGACTAAAAACGAATAATATTCCTCTCCTCTCCATTTCTTTTCTGAATACGAGGCGCCACTTGACACGTCGTTATTGATTAGTCTAATGAATTCTAATAATATGTGTGATATCAGCTGCTTGTGTCTTTTTGGGTAAAAGGACATATGGGTACCTTGCTTAAGGATCTTCGTTTGTCTTGCTTAGAAAAAAAAATATCCTTGGATATCATGGATAACTGTCGAGATCTTTATGGATGACTGTCGAGATCTTTGTGACTGAAGTAAGTCCTGGTTGCCTTGATTCAGAGGCAAAATTTGCGAGAAAATGGCTGCCAAAGTTTGGCGACTTCTAAGTTTGAAGAGTTCTTGGGAATAGAACTTACATTTTCTGAGTCTTTTATCTAGTTTTTCAATAAAATGCTCACAGAAACGTGTTTCTAAATTGCCATAAAAGGTGTTGAGTATGCAAAATACTAAACAAGCAAGAATTATGCCTGTTTGTTGTTTGTTGTTGTTTTTTTGTTTTTCTTTTGTTTAGTTTTGTGTTGTGTTGTTGTTTTGTTTTTGTATTTCAATATTTTGACGAGCGCCTCGTTTCACCACGATGCCTCACACACACACACACACACACACACACACACACACACACATATATATATATATATATATATATATCAATAACTGAAACTAACCCGGACAATCTGTTATCAGAGCAGCCATAATATATTTTTACAGATGTATTTTTATTGACGAAAGTGTGGGTTAAAGAAAACATTTAAAAAACTAACAAACAAACTACAACAACAACAACAACAACAACAACAACAACAACAGCAGCAACCCTTCAACCGCCAGCAGTTTTGAACACGAAATAGCAAGAGAGATCATATTTTATGTAGACACTTTTCCTTTTTTCAAACCATGTTCATGTTGCTCAACACGTCAAATTCCTGGTCTCATGGAATTAACTGAAGACATTCCATTGACATTATGTTATATCACAATAGACCATACACGTTGACGTATTTCCGGCTCAGGATTGAGTGCAACATTAGACCACATAATGTACGTATGAGAATAATAATAATAATAATAATAATAATAATAATAATAATAATAATAATAATAATAATAATAATAATAAAAGAAGGATAAGGGGCAGAATGAAAGGTGCCTCGAGCTTTAGAATTAGACAGAGATCTAGAGACTAATATTTTGCCATCCGTTTGGGAGTATGTGTGTGGGCCATGATGCCCAGCAGAGGTGGCCATAAATGTGTTCGTTCTACGAGTATGATATATATCTATGGGCCCCACCTCAGAAGAAGAAGAATTTTTATTGCCCTGCAGTTATAATTTCTGTCAAATGCATTGAAGTCACAGCTGTTACTGTATTATTCCGTTTCAGTTCTTGCTTTTTACTGCTTTCTGCCGATGTTTCCTAAAATAAAAAAAAGAAACTTAATTGTGCTAACAAAAGAACAATTTTGTTCTCCTTTACTCACACGGTGTTAGTATTGAGAAAGCGGTTACCCAAACGTTATGTCATTTTGGTTGTTGTTGTCTTTTTTGTTTCTTTGGTGGGTTTTGTTTACGACTTACACGCCCTGATAGAGTTTCAACTCTTCAAGATAGCGTGTTCAGCTGGTATAACGGATTTAAAGCCATCCAAACTCATACATGATTAATTCGTAGAAAAAAAAATGGTTTACTTTTTCTCTTTCTCCTTTTCCTTTTTAAAATCAAGAACAACTGCCTACGGATAATATGGCTTAGTAGTCTTGCTCAGCATGCTCCACCTTGACCCAGCTGCCCTTGTCTTTAGCTCTTCTGTTTTTGGTGGTTTTTTAAAAGTTGAACTTAATACACATTTTTATCATTGACATAGTAAGTACGATTGTTATTGCTACTGCTTCTATAATTATTACTATTATTATTATTATTATTATTATTATTATTATTATTATTATTATTATTATTGTTATTATTATTATTATTATTATTATTATTATTATTATTATTATTATTATTAATATTAATATTTTTATTTTTATTGTTGTTGTTATTATTATTATATTATTTTATTATTATTATTATAATTATTATTTATTTTAATAATGATAATTATTATTATTATTATTATTATTAATATTATTATTATTATTATTATTATTATTATTATTATTATTATTATTATTATCATTATTATTACTATCATTATTAGGCCCTATTATTATTGTATTTATCATTGTTATTGATAATACATTTATTGTTACTCTCATCAGTATTGTTGTTATTGTTATTGTTGTTATTATTATTATTATTATTAGTATTATTATTATTAGTAATATTATTATTAGTATTATTATTAGTAGTATTATTATTGATGTTGCTGCTGCTGCTATTGTCATTATTACAATATATACCCATATAAATATATATTTATATATATATATATATATAATTTATATATATATGCAACAACAGATTATCACGGGTATTCCGAGAATATGACGAGCGCATGTACTAAGCTGAAAAAAAATATTCTTTCTGGATAGTACGGGAGAAACACTTTTTTTAAAATCTTCGAATCTTTCCGTATCTAATCTTAACTTCTTTATCTTATTCTTGAAGTCTATACGAAACCCCTGACATACAGAAAATGTCTCACAACGGTATATTTTACAAAGGTAAGCCCAGAGCGTAAAGCCAGCCCCATTGGCAATGCAAATTGTATCGATAATGTCTCCTAATTTCCACCAGTGTTGACCCAGCAGAGAGGACGTTGTCGGCCGATAAATATGGAGACAAATTACCATGTTCTGCAGAGGCTATTGAATTGTCGTATTGAAGCTATTTGTTGCAATAGCACACTTATACATCTACATGTCAATACATTTGTCCATGCATATTACAGTTACACAAATCTATCTATCTATCTATCTATCTGATCAATCTATCTATCTATCTTCTATCTATCTATCTATATATATCTGATCTTTATCTATCTATCTATCTATCTATCTATCTATCTATCTATCTATCTATCTATATATCTAAGTATTCATCTATCTACCGATCTATCTATCTATCTAAGTATTAATATATCTACCAATCTATCTATCTATCTGCCTATCTAATCTATCAACTATCGTCTGGTCCATTGAATGTACAGAGGACTGTTCAATATGAACTGCTATAGAATATACTATTACAAACTAAGTTGATAATATATTATAATGCATAACAACCTTACATCTCCTCATTTTACAAGCACAACATTCTGTAACAAAATTAGATTGAAATAAATGAACATTTCTATGGCTTCCCCTTCAGCAATAACAAGCCCGAATAAAATGCTTAACACTAGTTTCCCCATCCTTTCAGGTAAAATTACTTATTGCACTAAGACTGGGGACCAAATGCTCAATCTTAAAAAGACCTACAGATGCCTTGGATTTAGTAGCTTTCATACGCACAGATCGTGATCAAGGGAATGAATATGTGCCATAGACAGACAATTAATTAATGTATAATAATACTATCTTCAATATGTGTAGCTTTTAGACAACAAACAAACTTTTTCTCTCAAATGAACAACAGTACTCCTTCAGTATACCCGACGTATTAATAACATGGATATTTTGCCATGATTTCTTAAAGGTTTGATGTTTATACCCGGACAATTATATATATATATATATATATATATATATGTATATATAATATTATATATCTCAAATCATTTCTACTTATACCTGCTGCTTGGAAGGACCCAATACAAACCTTATCCAAGTGATCATGAGGGTGAGGGGGGGGGGGGGTTAAGCTTGAAGTAGCCCGCCTCCACAATGATCAATAAATTTGTTTTAACAATGCGAGTTGGCGTTACGCCTTTACCATAGACTT